GCTTCAGTGTAGTAACTTTTCTATTTTTAGCAGTCTTTCTATTTTTTATTATCTATATGTCCGTATATCCATAATATATTGTATACATTAAGTGTATGCAATAAAATTTATTTAAAAAACCAAACTCTTGCCTCAGAATGCTCTGCCATGTGATTCCCGTATAAGCAGCTACCAGGTGCTCTCTTCCACTCGGTGTTTTAGTGCCCACCCTAGGGCTGCACCAACCTTGGTGTCCATCCCATGTCATTTGCTCAGATCATGTTTTATGATACACTGTTATTTTTCAAGTTATTTCAAAATGTACTGCAAAACTTTGCAACAGTTCCTGTTTCAATAAGTATGTGGTAATCTTCTATAACTCTCTTTGGCACTGACACTATGAGTAAGGTAATTACATGTTCTGGTTTGCTGTGGATAGTCCCAGTGTGTGCTGTTTGGGTGATATAATTGTTAATGGTGCTCACCTTTAATTTCAGAAATGTCACCTTGTAGCTGAGAAATTGTGTAGTCACTTTCCTTAGGAGTGAAACACATTTGGCACTTCAGTAGTTAAACGTTTATTTTAAGCAAGTTAAGACATACCTCTTCATTTTTTTTTAGTAAACAGTGTTATTTGCTACACAACTTTGAGAAAAACAAATCAAGTAGAGGACAGTGTGCTATGAGCAGGTCTGCCCTGCCACACCTGGCAGATGATGGTTTCAAGAGCTGAAGTTGGCTCTTGAATAGTCCTAGGGGCAGCTTTTCTGCCATGGCACAAGCCTGTCCTGAGGGCAGCCAAGCCTGAGAAATAGTCTGCTGAGCCCAAATAGGGATGACAGCTGTTACACAGGCCATTTGGATTCCCTCTTTGAGAACTGTGAACTGGAAATTACACCAAAAGTGAAGTACCAAAGAGTGGAGCAGAAGCTGCAAGCCACAAGGGCCCAAACAGCAGGGGGCATGAGAGGCCATAGGGAGACTGGGGACTGGAATGTGAGGCCCTGAAAAGCAGGGAAGGTGAAGGGCTACGGGGACCAAGGGATGGGGCTGCAAGGTGAGGTGGTATGGAATGAAGAGTAGGGATCCAGCTAGCAGCCTCCTGCTCAGAAGACAGCAACTGTATTTCTTTGCTCCCCAGGCCACAAATCCTGGAGCCATCCTTACCTGCTTCCTTTCATGCCTCATGTAGAATCCATCAGTAGTCCTTGGCTCTGCCTTATTTAAGGAAATATAATGAGAATGTGACCATGTTATTGCTTAGGCTGCCATCGTCTCTCACTTGGATGCTGAAGCAGCCTTCCAAAGTTCCCAGCTTTTGCTCTCGCTATCTGCCGTCTGTTCTTACCAGCAGCCAGAGTGGTCTTGTTACTAAGGAATTCAGATCATTTTGTTTTGCCCAGACTCCTGGAAGTGGCCACTTATCTCACCTAGAATAGAAATTGGAGTCCTTAAAATAGTCTTAAGCCCTGATGTGTCTCTTCCACCTGTCCTCACATCCCTGACCTCATCCTCCACCCCACTTGTTGCAGCTCTTTCTGCAATGATCATTCTAGCCTCCTCCCGTGGTACCTACAGTATCATCTGGTGTACTGCATTCTTTACTTTCTTGTTTTTTCACCTTCCGTATCTCCTGATACAGTGGAAATGCCATCAGGGCAAATACTTCTTTTGAGATATATCAGTTCATGAACTTGTTCTGGTTGCAAACTGAATTGGAATATGAAACTGTTATTGGAGAAGAAGGAAAAGGGGAGATGAAGGAAGAGGGGAGACGAAGGAAGCTACTGCCTCCGAGGCACATCAGTACCATGATCATCTTCAAAGTGTGTGGAGGTAGTAGACATGCACACATCTTACTCTATAATGGGGACCTGACTAGGGCCTAGCAGGTTCAAGTTTCCTGCAGAGATACTGTAGAACTCGCATTTACAGCTAAGACTGCTGGGGGGAGAAGAGATAGGCAGTCCACCCAGAGGAAGGTGCAGCCAGATCTAGACCTTTGGCAAGTTCCATAGCCCCTTTGGGTGTTAGCATTCATCTCTATGAACTGAGGACTAGAGAAGATACTCATCACATGGGGGCTTTCAAGATTAGATAAGTTAGGCCTTATTAGTCTGGATACAATCTAAGCACACGGCAGAGCCACCTCACAATGACAGTGCCTTGGGTACCAGTTGTTCCCCTTTTACTTGTCACTCATCAGTATAAACAGTGATGAAGTAAGTAAGGTGTAAGTAAGTAAGGAGCCCCTTACTTCTTCCCAAGAACACATGAGCAGCTATATTTGGATTCTGCAGTTCTATTTCCAATGAATTTTTCTTTGGAGATAATTAAAGGGATATGCCAGAATAGGTGTACCTGGGTATTGAGAGTGGCAGAAAAAGTGGAAAACACATAAAAGCCTTATAATGGGGGATTGGTTAAATATTACATTCGACTCTAAATAACAAAAAATATAATAGATGTCCATTTATAATTGTAGAAAAAATATTCATTATAAGAAAAAGGTTGATTATAAAATGCCATGCAAAATACCCAATTTTGCATGTGTATCATGTCATAAATGTATATTTACTGTGTGAGACATTATATGTATGCATGTGTGTGTCTTTGTATATAAAATATGTAATAAAAGTCTAGGCAAAATGGTCTGGAAAATAAAATTTCATCAGTGTTTACCACTGGAGGACAGAATTAAAGTAATTTTTACCTTTATTATTGTTTTCTAATTTTTAACCATGAGTTTTTATCACCAAGGTAATAAAATTATGCAGAAAGAACATTTTGGTGCAGCACATTAACAGTTAGAAAGGGGCTTCTACCCAAGGCACCTTACAGATTCAAAACAGTCACCATCAAAATCTGGTAGCTAGTCTGCTCTTAAGGGTCATTTCAGTTAAGGAGAGCAACTTGGGGTCAGTGATATAGCTCAGTGGCACAGTGCCTGCCTGGCAAGTGTAAGGTCCTGAGTTCAATTTCCGGTACCCCTCCCCCCCAAGAAAAAACCAGAAGAGCAACTTGGTTTACTGTACAATCACATTACAGAGCCAACACATAAACCCCAGGCAAGTGATTTATTTGTTCTTTTCCTTCTTTATGAAAACTTGTTCTTAGGAAGTAATCTAATTTAATCTGAAATCTAGATCAGTATTACTTCTCCTAGGGATATTTTAAATAACTATGAACTGAAAAAATGGTTTTCTACCCAGAGATAGAAAAAAATAACTAATATTCATATGGAACCACTCTCATTAGAGTTTTCTGAGAAAAAAAATCTGAAAGTATCACAGTATCTGATTTTAAGACATACAACAAAGAGATAGTAGTGAAAACAGCATGGTACTGGCATAAAAACTGACATACAGGCCAAAGGAACAGAATAGGGAAGCCAGAAGTCACACACCTACACAGTTGCTTTTTGACAAAGGCACCAAACACATACTGGAGAAAGGCCAAAGATAAATGGCTTTAGGAAAGCTGGATAGCCATATGCAGAAGAATGGAACTTGATTCCTTTCTCTCACCATATTAAAAAAAAAAAACAAACACCCAAAATGGATCAAAGATCTAAATGTAGGACCTGAAACTGCTAGAAAAAAAAAGAGGGGAAACATTCATAAAACATTGTTATAGGTAATAACTTTCTAGATAAGACACCAAAAGCACAGATTACCGAGACAAAAAGAGACAGATGAGATAGCACACTAAAAAGCTTCTGCACAGTAATGGAAATGGTCAACAGAGTGAAGAGACAACTTACAGAGTGGGAGAAAATTAATATTCAAGAATTAATATCCAGAATATATAAGGAATTAAAAAAACTCAATAGCACAAAATAAAACCTAAATAATCTAACTTAAAAATGAGCAAGTCATCTAAATAGACATATCTCAAGAGAAGATACAAAAATGGCCAACTATATTTAAAATGCTCAACATCACAAAGATATAAAGGAAATGCAAATAAAAAACACAATAACATAATTGTCTCAACCTAGTTAGAATGGATATTATCAAAAGACAAAAGACACCAGATGCTGGCAAGAATGTGAAGAAAGAGATTCTGATACAACCTTGGGAGTGTAGATTAGTATAGCTATTATGAACAACTATATGGAGATTCCTTAAAACTAAAAATAGATCTGCCATATGATCTAGCTGTTTCCACTTCTGGGTTTGTATCCCAAGGAAATGAAATCAGCATACCAAATAGACACCCGCATTTGGGCATATATTGCAGCACCATTCACAATAGCCAAGATATGTAATCAACTGAGGTGTTTATCAGCAGAGAATGGCTTAAGAAAATAGGGTATGTATACACAGTGGAACATGATTTAGCCATGAGAAGAATGAAATCCTGTCATTCATGACAACATTTATGAAATTGGAGGGCATTATGTTAAGTGAAATCAGCCAGGCACAGAAAGACAAATACTGTATATTCTCACTCATACGCAGAAGCTAGAAAGTAGAACGGTGGTCACTAGAGGCTAGGAAGTGTCGGGAGGGGTAGCAGGTACCATAGAAATATTTCATAGCATAGTTTACAAGTTGTTACAAATATTATAAACAAAGGCAAGAAAGGAGTTCAGTGTCCCAACACAAAGAAATGATAAATGTTTAAGGAGAGGAGAGGGAAATGCTACATGTCCTCATTGGGTCTTCACACATTATATCCATGTATGAATTATCACTGTACTCTGTAAGCAGATACAGTTATGTGTCAATTAAAAATAATACAAAGTAAAATAATACAAAACTTAGAATGGAGATGAGATTGAACTTGTATTGATTGAGAACTTGGCCTTTAGATTTTTTTTTTTTTCCTCTAAAACCTACCTTCTGCTTTTAGCTTATGACATCAACATACTGTAATGATCTTGATCTTAGTCATTCTCTTGGGCAATGTACTGTTCTCATCGTCAGAGGAACAGGTTTTAAGTGATTCTAAGAAAGTACGCGGAAAGCGATTAGGAAGTACGCAGTTAGCTCTGTCCTTTGCTTTGGTAATTCTGAGAAGAGGCTGAAGTGCTGTCTGCTGAACTTGTTTGACATTAAGGTGGGGCTGCTTCCAGGTGGTTAACAAGTGCTTGAGCTTGACTTCTGGAACTTTGCAGTGGCAGTGACAGCTTCCTGCCGCCTTGGACTGATTGCCCTGGGCGTGGCCAGCTTTTTCTCCTTCAGTTGAGGAAGCAGCTCTGAGCTGTCCTTGTGGCCCGACAGCCCCACCCAGTCAGAATCCCCGTAAACTCTGAGTTAGCTGCAGTTTTCCTTTGAAGGGCAGACAGACCAAACCTTTCTGTATCCTGTTGGAAAACAAGATGGTCCTTAAAACTGAAGACAAGGACGGTAAGTGCCGGCCCCAGACCAGGATTAAGATGGCCTGGGGCACATGGCGTGGAGGTCTGAGGATCCTTTCCTGTCCATATGTGAAATCCTGGGAGGACAGCTCTGTTGGACCCTGAGGGGAGGAGTTAAGGGCCAGCCTTAACTCTGTTTACTTTGTTCTTTTCAGGAGAAGGACTGCAGAGTGCTGAGTGTTAGCACACTGAGGCAGGGTGTGTGTGTGTGTGTGTGTGTGTGTGTGTGTGAGAGAGAGAGAGAGAGAGAGAGAGAGAGAGAGAAGGAGGGAGAGAGGGAGAGAGGGAGAGAGAAGGCGCAGTGTGTTTTGAAACCTTTTAAACCCCCTCCCCTTCGTGTCAGCTCCATGGTGGGTGTTTCCTGGTGCCACAAAGCCTCCTGCTTTGGTGACTCTTTCTAGACTCTCTGAATAGCGGTGGGTCAGAAGGTCTGGGAACTGCATACCTCCAAAGCGAACCGGGGCTAGAAAGTAACGATGGAAAGTGCCAGTGAGATTTGGGATAAGCAGTCATTTTTGTTAAATGTAGCTAAGGGGAAATTTGGTCTTCCTCTTTGAGTGTTAGGTAAAGACTCAAGCCTCAGAGCCTGTAGAGCTTTACCACACCCACACTGTAAGTAGGGAAGCTATGAGTAAGCAGATGACAGACTCTGGCTTCTGAGTCCCAAAGAGTGCGCAGAAGATCAGCTTAGAACGCTGGAGTCCGAAGAGCTGTGTGGATGTGTATATTTCACACTGACACCTTGACAATGTGTTTTCAGGTTGAACAAGGTAGAGAGCTAAGTAGCTGGTAACGATATGAATAAGTCTGAAATAAAAATAAAGCAGCATTTCAGAGTAGATTTCATCAAAGTTATAGTAAATTCTGGGAGTTCCTTTTATGCTTTTCTTTCTCTGGCTCACTATAAAACATGTAAGTAACCCTCACAGCTGATGTGAGAGATACAAACTCACTCCTACATGTTAAGGGTATCACCTGACCCACAACCTCCACATGGTTAAGTTTCCCCTCCAGGCACAGATTACCTCAGATACTGTTCATGAGGACACTTTGGAAAGCTATACCATGTGTGAAAGATTTTGGAGAGGGGCATACAGGTGTTTATAATAATCTCTTTGCATTTGAAGAGGGGAACAGTAATGAAGTTTGATACCAGGTTAGGACTGAACTGCCCAGTTGGGAAGCTTTGTATCTGAAAGGTGAGTCCAAGCTAGCCAGAGTCTCAAGGTCAGAGGGAACAGTGTTGAGGACACTGTAGTGACTATGCAGGAACAGTAGGTGTGAGAATGCCTGGAGGGGCAGCAGTGACTAGTGGTCATTATGCTATTTTTTTATGCTTGCTTGCTGCTAGTCCTTCTTATGAGCCTGGTTTCAGATCCACCCAGGAGATGTGGTTCAGCAGTCACTTCGAGGTCTAGAAGCTTTAAAATTCAGCACTAGCTGCCCTGTGTTTGTGTACTTGGCCCAGTGGTGGGAATGATGCAGCTGGGCTATGATTTTAGGGGCAAGGATGGTAGAGGTGAGTTTCACGGTCCATTTTGCTTTGAATAAGTAACCCTGGTGCTTCTCCATTCCTGTAGCCCTCCTGTGTCCCCCCACCCCCACCCCCTGTTGTCTACTTGGGTTGAGGGAGGTGGCATTATCCTTTTAATCACTGCTAAGGTGGATGCCCCCAGGGTATTGCTGTGAGCCAAGAGGCATTTTGGAAGATGTGAATGGGAGTTTCCTCAGCAGGTCTCCAAGCTACCAAAGCAAGAGAGCAGTGAGAATCAGCATGGTGCCGCTCTGAGTTGCTTCTGGCAGGTTGTTTGTTCTGGAGTTCACATCTAATATATATATGTATTTTGGACCGGGAATGAAACTCAGGACCTTGAGCTTGCCAGGCAAGCATTGTGCCACTGCACTATATCCCCAGACCCCTGGAATTCACATGTAGAGGTCAAGTGAGGGTTTTTGAAAATATTCTTGGAGAAGTCAGATTCTTTTCTGCTGTGGAATCTCACACGTATAGTCCTCACACTGAAAATGTTGTTCTGTCTCTCCACCCTTTCCTGGTGCCTACCTCTACCCATTTCCATGCTAGAATTGTGAGATTTAACCAATACAATTAATTGGGGACTGTTTCCTTGACTGCCATAAATTGGGTTTTTAGTTAGTCTTATCTTTTTTAATGTTCAGTCCTCCTTAATTTGCCATTAACCCTCTCTTTGAGATGGAACTCAGCTCATTGGTGTGGGCCCCAGTGCCCTTCACAGACACTATGCTCTCTTCCCAGGACAGCCCAACCTAGTGTTCCAGGCCATGACATGTGGCATGCTCACTGTCCTCAGACTCTACCTTGCTTAGGACAGTCCATTTCTTCTCCTCCATTTGGAGATTTTTTTTTTTATTTATTTTTGAGACAGGGTCTTGCTAAGTAGCCCAGGCTGGTGTTGAACTCGTAGCAGTCCTCCTGCCTTACCCCTCACAAGTGCTGGGATCACGGGCATGAAGCACCACACCCGGCTCTCCCTTTGGGGAATTTGTTGATCCCAAGTTCTGGCTCAGAGTCTGGCAGCTTTGTAGCCTCTTGGCATGTCTTGGTGTTTTCTGAGTATTTTATGTGTGCAGCTGCTGTGTCTGGGTTACTACTTCTGTGGGGAGAACCAGGTAAGCACCTGGCTCTCTTCACTGGCTAGGCAGGAACTGGAGCTATTTAAGTCACAGCTCCAAGCACCGGCTGCTTTTGTGGCAGCAAATGTTGGCTGCAGTTGAATCTGTAGATTGCATTAGAAGAATAAAGAGCTGAGGTCCAGGCAGGGACTGAAAGTAAGAACTGGCCTCTCTCTTCTCTGTGAGAAGCTTACCTTAAATGGGTTATTTACACTCATGGAGTCTTGTACCTCATCTGTAAGCTGGAAGGAACAGTTCACTGTCGGGAAATATGCAGAGCTTATAGTTGAGCTTTGTTGTCAAATTTTTTAAAAATGGACATGGAAAAATATTTAAAGCCATAAGATACCATGAGGATTTAGAATAGTAATTGTTTATAGGAAAATAGGCTAAATAGAATGAAGTATAATGCCTCTCCAGTAAGACATTGTGTTTTTAGGTTAAGCCTAAAATAATTCACCTTGAGTTAGCCTGTGCCCCATTACTCTGTTCCTGTGTTCCAGGTGATCATGCAGCCTCATTTTTAGGTTGAAGTCTTGCTTAACAGGAAGATCTGAGGTGCTGTAACTCTAAATTAATACTCGTTAGGTAGTTTTACCCACTTATATAGATTTTGTATTTTGCAGAATAAAAAATGATTGCATCTGTATTTTTAAGCAGGAACATGTTTGGCATTATACAAAGTACATACCAGAGTAAGAAACCTGTCACCATCTGCTGTGACAGTTTTGAAGTGGCGTTGCTCTGGCTTGATACTACAGGCTTTCTTGTTGAGCACACTGGGAACAGATGTGCACAGTGTCATACAGAGATTTGGAACTGGCTTTTCCCCTTGGTGAAGAAGAAGAACAGAATAAGGGCTTGGCTTCTGTGCTTCTGAACAGTTTACTTTTATCCATTGTCTGAGAGTTTCTACAGCCTCCCAAGTTTTCCTGTTTGTAGTGGAATATAAATGTGTCACAAGACCCACAGTTCAGTTAGAGAGTTTGTGGGAGGCAACAGGTGGGATTTTCTAAGAAGCCAATTTTGGTGGAAAGGAAAGGTATCTTAGGTCTTGGCGCACTGAGATGTGGGGTTGTGAGCCCTTGCTGACATACAGAATGGTCATCTGGGGAAAGGACGAAGCTGAGATCTGCGAGTCCAGGTAGAGTTGGGGGCAGTCAGAGCAGGAGGCTCTCCACTTTTTCACCAGCTCTCCCTGTGGCTTTAGAAGGCCACGGAATATATGTGTGGTGTGGGCTGACAAAACCTGCATACAGTTTGCTGCTGGCTCTATCAGAGATGGAGGGCTAGCCCTTCTGGAGGTATTCAGGAATATCCATCTCTCATTTTCCCTTGTACCTTGAAAAGTTTCCAAAAGCTGATTCACTGAATATGTAGTGTTGTGGTATCTGCTCTTACTTCTATCATTAGTGCAGCTAAGATTTCTTTTTTAGGAAGGGAATTTGTGACTTCTGTCATCTTCTGCTCACCTTCTGAGGACCTTCAGCTTTGGGGACTTTTATGTGGCTTCATTTTGTAGCCTGCGTGTGAAGTGATTAACTGGGACAGAGTCACTAACAGCAGTGTAGTCACAGATTCTAGAGCTAGAGAGTCCCTTTGGAGTTATCTAGCTCAGCTCTAGTTAGCTCTAAAGAGGGCCTCTCTGAGCCTGCATCAGCCAGGAATACATTAAACTCCCGCTGTTGGGATATGGTCATCCCATGTCCCGATACATGTGATGGTTAACTGTGATTGTGGACTTGACTGGATTAGGAGTCAGCTAGCATATTAGTGCAACACACTTCGGAGTGTGTCTGAGTGGGTTATGGGGGAGTGATCTTGGTGACCATATCTGGTCCCTGGCCCTTTCCTCTCTGGTTCTCGCCCTACTTTGATTTCCAGCTGTCATGAAATGAGCAGCTTTGTTCCACCACACCCTTCTCCTGTGATGTTTTTGCCAGCACACCATGAACCAAACCTCTGAAACTATGAGCCAAATTAAACCTCTTCTCCTTTAAGTTGTGGCTGTTGTGACAAGAAAGCTGACCAATACAGTAAGTTACCAGTTAGTTTTTCATTTTTCTCTTGCCTACAAAGGTGTTTGATTCTATAGACTGAGGTGATAGACTAGGAGAGCTACAAAAGTGCAACACCATCAAGCCTTGCTACCCTGCAGGTGGGTTGGGTGCCAGGACCCACCCAGCATAATCCTTCCTTCTTTGAAAAAAGGACATAGTCTCTTGCTTGTGACTTCTTGTTCTTTACAGAGAATTCATAGAAGCTCAACACCTTTCCTCAGAAAGATCCTGTGAGGTTTTTTTTCCAGGTTAATGGCTGCTCCTGATACCTCTTTCT